CTGACATCAGGGAAGAGCAGGTGGGGTGCCCATTCCATGGATGTATGTGAAGACACACTGTGTGCAGACCTTTCCCAGGGCTCGGCTGTGATCGCCAGTAGCCAGAGCAGATGCAACCCCTGCCCTCTGGGGCTTCAGTGCTGTTTGGGGTCCTCAGTCACCCTGGACAGCTGAGCAAGCATTCCTCGCAATGCAGTAGATGGCACTTTCCCGGCCTCCCCAGATGTGGATCCACAGCAGTGCAAGAGGAGCCCAGGAGCGGCAGAGACACCGGAGAACACAGCGCTGCAGAGCTAAAGCCTGAGGAGAGGTGGGCGGGACAGATGCCCACTGTCCCCCCCATCTCAGATTGTTACAGAGCAGTGGCCCTGTGCCCTTGAGTGTAACACGCAGCAGACACCAGACTCTGTCCTCATGCAGCTGACAGTGGGGACGGGTGGGGAGATGGTGTGTTGGGCTGCCCTGAACAAGGCAGAGGCGGTCACACCACAGAGCACGGAGCCTCCTGTTAGGCTCTCGGGCTGCCTGGGCCAGCACTGCCCCACTGGGCATGGAGAGGGTGGGGCTGGAGCACGCACAGCTGTGGCAGGAGGCCTACTTGTCCACCTCCGCATGTTCTCTGGGCAGGCAGCATGGGAGGAAAGGCCAGGCCTCTCACTCTGCCTCCTACCTGCCTTTCCAGGTCCTCCTTTTTTGTCCTCCACTTCTTGGTGGAGCTGCACTCCCAGGAGAATCCACCAGCTGAACTCCTGGCCCAGCTGGAGCAAGCTGAGCCCACTGAGGCACAGCCCATGGGTGAGGAGGATGGGGTGTGGGCCTGTGGGCATGAGGGGAGGGATGGGCCTTTAGACACAGAGACAGCTTCCGGGTGCTAGGGTGACCTGGCATCACTGAGACCTCAGCCGTCATGGTCTGGGAGGACTTCCTGGGGAGACTTTGTGCACAGAGCTGTCTGATGGGCAGTGGGGAGGTTTTGCCCTGGGAGGGAACATGGACAGTTGGTGACTTTTTCTTCTCTTGGAAATGCAGGACCAGCTCCAGCCCCAACTGAAGTCCCACGTGCGGAGCCCGAGCCAGCTCCACCTGCAGCTTCCTGCCCAGCGCTGGGACCACAGCCAGAGTCCGTGGCAGCCCCTTCACCTGCTGCAGTGCTAGGGCACCCGGTGGTTGCATGGCGGTCGGTGTCACCTCCTGAGCTCCGCCTGGGGCCAGCTCCTGGCCCCCTCCCACTGTTCCCCTCACTTATGCTGGCTCTTGCAATTGTATTTACAATTGCCCTTATTTCTTGGATTTATATAAATAATAGAACTAGCTTTTAATAAAACTTAAAATTTTAGTGTTTAAAAGGGTCAGCGTGGTGGCCTGAAGTGCCTTCTCCCTGTGTGTGCCCATCCCCAGAGCACTGTGCTTGGTGGCTCCTGCCCACGCCCCTGGCCACTGCTCCTCTCGTGTACCCATGGGCACCTGGCCTGCAGGGTTCACACCAGTGCAGTCGGACTTGCCTTTGGCCACACAGTCGTGAGAGGGGCTGATGAATCTTGTGCTATGCAGAAGGGGAAACCCTAGAAAGATCCTGGCCATTTTTCATTGGCTTCTTCAGTAGGTAATCCAGGTTGTGTTGCCAGACAGGATGTATTTATCACAGTAAGATAACGTGTGCAGTCTGAATGAAGGACAGGCGAAGGGCACCGCTGCAGGAAACCCACTGGGCCGTGGCCTCCCCTAGGCGCCCCCTCCTTGTCTGGATCTCAGGGTTCAGGCTGTGTCTTCCCTGCTGGGAGGGGGTGCGCCACTCCTCAGCTCTCCTACCATATCATTACGTGCGTGGGGACCTGGCCTGTCAAGCTCAACCCCACACATTCAGAGCCCCAGTGACACAGTTGGCTCAGCAGCCTCTGCCCTCCTGGTTCCAGGGTCCCCGGTGTCTGTGTCATCAATGCTGCTTTTTAGGGTGGAAGCCTGGCAGTGGAGACTCCGGTCATAGTCACAGGAGCGGGGCCAGTGATGGGCTCCTTCTGTGGAGTCTGCAGGGCAGAGCACGCCATCCTGGCCGAGCTCCAGGTGACCTCCTGGACATCAGCTCTGCAGGTCTTTGGGCTCACCTGGGGACAGGCTGCTCTGGCTGCTGTCTGTCTCAGCTCAGAGGACAGAGGGACAGGACAGCACAGCCCCAGCCTGCCTACTTGAAGATGGACGAACATTCTCTCCATCTCTATTAAATTTTACTTTTAAAATATGAAACCCCAGAGCATCCTGGACAGCAGAGGCTGGAGGTTCCTGGGGGTGTATGGCCCAGCCCTGCCCATGGACTGAGGTCTTTACAAATCAGTAAAACTTATTTTCAGTACTAGGGATATAAATTCAGGACCTTCTCACTCAGCCACATCAGCAGCCCATTTAATGTGTGATTGTGATTGTCAGAGTCTTCTCATTAAGTCGCCGTCACCCAGCCTGGGCCTCCCAGAGTGCTGGGTAGCAGAGCTGCACCACCTCACCTGGCTTCACTGAGCAGTTCTGAAAAACGAATGGATCCCGATGGCTGGGTGTCCACCATTAACGCTTAGGTCAGCTCAGCATCTCTGGCTAGGGCTATGGGCTCCACCAGAGGGAGTGCTGCTCCCTGAGAGGCCAGTGAGTCACTGCCTCGTGCCAGGTGAGTGACATCATTCTGGGCGGGTGACCACAGGCTGAGAGCTGACCTCCCTCCCACACTGCCCTGGTGTGCACAGTCCCCGAGTGTTTTCCTCCTCTCTGCACGCTGAGCTGGGCAGAGTGCAGGGTGAGTCTGTCCCTGGGTGACCTCACTCCTGGGGCCCCAAATCCTGCACCAGGCTGCAAGCTGCACACAGCCCCACGCCGGAGCTGCGCCTGCAAAGCTTCGGGAACCATCTTTCCGGTGTCCACGCACAGCTGCAGCTCCTGACTGCACCAGACTGTCCTGGAATCCCTCCCTGACCATACACACGTACCCCATCCTGGCCAGATGCTGCTGGGCCCTCACACTGTGCCCCACTGCACACTGCACCGGCCATAAAGAAAGGATCATCCAGACAGAGCCGGGCCTTGAGCTGGCAATGCCAGGGGACAAGGACTGTGTGCTCCATAGAAGTGACTTTGAGAGCAATCCACGGTTTACAGATTTCCCCACAAAGCCCCAGGTGGGGCCTGATTTGCATTCCACACTTAAAATGTACCGACCTCACCATGAATGTAACCACTATGCACTGATGAAATAACACAGCGAATTATAAGCAATAAGAGTAAATGAGGCCCTGATGGCAAAACCAAAACAGAGGGAAGTGAAGCGAAACTCTTCAGGGCCACGCGGCCCTCCAGCTGCCAGCCGGGGTGCGGCAGGTGAGGCGAGCCCGGGGAACCAAGCGGCAACCTCAGAAGCTAAGTGCATCTGCTGGGATCTCTGTGGCCAAGTTTGGGACAACAGTGATGCGAAATGTCAGAGCCCTTTGCTCTGTGCACAGCTGGGTGCAAACACATGGGGAGCTTGCTAGGCACTGGCTGCCCAACAACCCCAGAAGCAGCTCACTCAGCCTTGGGGGAGACAGCGAGCCCACACTCCCAATACCCGGCACAGAAAGTGAGCACCGACTCAGGCGAGTCTTCTGAGGCCACACTCTGCACACACTACCTTGGTCCGCTGCTAAGGGCCCTGA